AATAAACAGCTTTGTAAAAAAGAAATTATTCATTGAAACAGATAGAGGAAAGACAGAGAGAGAAGCTTACTCCCGAGCTTCGATTTCAAGGGTGGAAGCCATTGGTGACGTATCCAATTAAACCCTGCCTAAATCTCGGTGTTTTATATGATGCTTTTTTTTTTTAATTATTGGGTAATTGAAAGGGAAAAGAAAAGGAAAATTTTGGAAGATGTTGCGGTGATCGTTAACAGGCTGATAAGGCGACGGGCTCAAACTATAAAGTAAAGCACCTAAGCGAACTCGATGTGTTCTGTGTTAACAAGGTATTCAGCCCAATAGGCCCACTAGTGGTGAGCTGCCTGGCTGGACTTCACATGAAAGCAATTTCATGTATGAAAGGGATACTAAAGTTGAGGCTTCTCATGCTTCCAAAAAAAAAAAAGGGTTAATCACATTTTATCCTCTTAAAGAATACCCCATTTGTCAGTTTACCCCCTAACATTTAATTTTGCTCACTTAACCCCCTTTAGGACAAAATTGCCCTTGCATTATTTTGACTTTTCATTTACCTTGTTTTCCTTTCTTTTATTTCTTTTTCTCTTTCTTCTTTATTTAATTCTTCCTCTTTCCCACAAAAATCTTCACCTTAATGATTGAAATTAAAAAAAAGGAATTGCAAAGATCTATCTTCTCCTTAAATCATTAAAAAAATATTCAAATCACTTTCCTAAAATACAATTTCATCTTAAGATATTTTCTTGGGAATAAAATGAGAAACTAGAAAGGAAAGAGGAAAACCCAAAATTAAAAGAATTGAAAGGTTAAAAAAATTGTATTTTAGGAAAGTGATTTGAATATTTTTTTAATCATTAAGGAGAAGATAGATCTCTGCAATTTCTCTTTTTTAATTTCAATCATTAAGGTGAAGATTTTTGTGGGAAAGATGAAGAATTAAATAAAGAAGAAAGAGAAAAAAAAATAAAAGAAAGGAAAACAAGGTAAATGAAAAGTCAAAATAATGCAAGGGCAATTTTATCCTAAAGGGGGTTAAGTGAGCAAAATTAAAGGTTAAGGGGTAAACTGAGAAATGAGGTATTCTTTAAGGGGATAAAATGTGATTAACCCAAAAAAAAAAGGCCTTGAGGTTTCTTGAATTCTAGCTTAACTAGTGGACACATTAGACATAAACAACCATCGGATATTATTTAACCTTGTACGGTTGAGTAAAAAAAGGAAATGGTATTAGCACTCTTCAAAAAAAAACATCAGGCAGTCCTTCTCTTCTTTTAGAGCGAGTAGATGAAGTTTTAAGGAGTGCTTGAAATGTTTTGAGGAATTATTTTCTAAAAACAAAAAAGGAAAAAAAAAATAAGGTTAGCATGGTAGCTATTGGCAAATCTTTAGTGCTCTATTTGTTCAAATAGGACACCCTCATCATTCTGTATTTCCCTTGCCTTCAAGTTTGGTTCTTATGCGGAAGAAAGAATTATTTGAAAAAAAAATTTGGAATAACACTGTAGTTCTATTTATAATATGATGTATGTGAGATAAAAAGAAATAGTTAGAAGGAAAAAATATAATAAAAAGCTTATTTTTTATGCAAGTAAAAAATATTTCTGAAAAAATTACTTGTCCAAACAATTGAATGAGAAGAACTCGAGCCAGGTAAAGAATGCTTTGAAAATGTATTAAGATTCTAACTTTTAATGCAATCTCGTGTTGAGCGGATACAGAGATTTGAATCCTTAACCTGTAATCAAATCTATACTTTATGCTTCACTTGATGGCCAACTCGCTTAAAGAGAGTGGAGAGTCGGTTGCCAATTTGTTTTAAAGTATAAGGTACAATGGCTCATTGATTGCACGTATCATTAGAGGTGACAAAAAGAAAAACATTATTATCAAAATAAAAGAACCGGTGATCCGGAAACCCGCAACATTTATCTTGATTCAATTAGAATAAGAGGGTATTTGATATGCAATTGCTCGCTCGGTCAAATGAGGACAAATATTTCCAATCCATGACTAGTTGATTACTCGTAATTATTAACTCGACCCAATCTAGTGATTTAATAGATCAGCCCAATGAACCGACCACTTAATCGAACTAGTTTATATGGTTGGATTAAATAAGAAAGAAATCTGTTCAGAAGTCAACCACCTAACCGTTCGATTGGTGAAAAAACCAAATACCTGCCCAATTCAACCACCAGTTCAGTAATTATCTTATTATATAATTTACCCATTGGTTCAACCATGTGATTTGCGGCTGCGCAACGCTCCCCTTGCCAGATCGATGACCTGTAAGCTTTTGCCCTTATTGCCTTAAGCTTAATTGGGGAAATGTTCTCCCATGAAAAATTTGTCTTCTTTTATGTTTGGGATAATTTCAAAAACCTCCCCTAAGGTTTCTAACAATTTTATTAAGCTCCTCTAAGGTTTGAAAAATTATACTTACCTCTCTTGATTTGATAATTTTAGTAGCAAAACCTTAAAATAATATTGACTTGGGCAATTTTTTAAATGAATACCCAAAAATGCCGTTGTGAAATGAGTTTAATTTATTTTTCTATACAATTATAAGATTATTTAGTATAATAATATGAAAAATGTGCCAAAGTTTTCATGTCCATATCTACTATTTGATAAACAACTATAATAATAATTTTATTACTATGATATGATATTTTTATGGTATTTTATTATGGGTTTAGATTTATAAGATAGAAAAGAAAATGTTGAAATAATTCATTTAGAATTTATAAATTTTTGAAGTAGTGGGATTATCACAATTTAGTAGTGCTTTTGGACAATTTCTTTTTTATTTATTATTAATTTTAATACCAAATAAAAGAAAACAAAGATCAGCAAAAACATTGGATTAATATAAAATTAACTCGTAAAAAAAATCACTAGTTCGACATTTGGTTATAATAGTCACCTAGAGGCAATAGTGGTAGTTCTACAGTTTTATTGACAAAAAAATTTAAAAAAGGAATAAGAAGGAAAAAGAATGAAAAAATAATTCAAAACTCAATCTAAGTATAAGCATACCAAATAAGAGAATTTCATTAAAATATTTAAGGGTAAAATTGTTATTTTAAATGAGGCATGTATAATTTTTCAAACCTTAGGGGAGCTCAGTTAAATTGTTAGAAACCTCAGGGGAGGTTTTTGAAATTATCCCTTTATGTTTTTTTTAAAGTGAATAAGTTATACATGTCCTTAATGAAAATGCTCCAATACTTTTAGTACCAATTTAAGAGTTTGTGTATTTGACCCTAATCTATCTACTACATTGGCTCAAATTGTTCATCCAATTATTTTTACCTTCAAATTACTAGAAGAAGTCTGCATTTTCTGTAGCAGAATTACAGCTTGCTTTGGATTTTCTTTTCCTCTTAAAATTTTTAATTTGGCTCTAATATATATATATATATATTTTTTATTGCGGTCATGCAATTGAATCCACAATAATTCGTTCTATAATATTGGAAGATGTTGGTGAATTGTATGACTTTCCTATTAAACTTGGACATGGTATCCAATTCTCAATTTTGTACTTTCAAGACCTTCTTATCAATGTTTCTATTTCACTACTAGTTCCATAATATGCAGTTCCAATCATCTAAATAACCATTTCTATTGCAACAATAATGTGCTAAATAGTTGAACTTGCTATATTATGTTGCATTAAACTAACAATCCCTACAAAATTTTTTCTTGGCTTTTAAACCTTTTATTCATCCTGATACAGATTGTGATAACAAGATTGTGTAACAAGTGAGAAAACAAAAAGGGCAAATGTGGAATCAAAATATATTCTCTCAACTCAAGTGAATTTTCTAATCTTTCTTTTTCCCATAGGGCATGTTACAGAAATAAAAATTAGGAAAGATTAGTGAGAATTTTAGAGGTCCATTGAGAGAAACCTTAGACAAGAAGTATATGATATTAGAGAAATGATATGTGTCACTACTATTTTGGTTCACCAACATATCATCTCCTACATGTAATGCATTTGTGGACTAATGATGTGTCCTACTTCCATTTTTATCACTTTAATAATCTGCTGTTTTGAATCTCTTCCTTTTCTGCCTCCAGTCCACAATTTGAGTATTACAGTGTCAAGAATCCACATAAAACTCTCAATCTCCAACATTTTCTTTATCTCTTTCCTGTTCCTTGCTCCCCAAAAATTTTCGAACGAACAAAGACAAAACATTTAAAGAGAACCATCCTCGCATGTTTAAGTCAAGATAGTATATGCTCATTGATTGGTAGCCAAATTGATAAATATTGGTGATCTTAAAGTTTGGCCGTTCGTGAGAATTGAAGTTGGACACACACACACACACATATGATAAAATAAAAACATTAACGATTGGCCTTCAAAACTGTTTTGTAGATTTGGTGTTGTTTATGGGAGAAGAGATTTAGAGGAAGAAGTGCACCTGGATTCTTATCTTGGAGCTAGAAGGGTTGAGTTGTGGAGGAGGGGATGTGAAAAAAGTGCTGCAAAGAGTTGGGGTGGATTTGGTGGCTGGCATGGGTGATGGTGCTGGAGGCAGAAGAAACAAAAAAAAGGCAGGGAAATGAAAAATTCACTAGGATATAGTAAGCCCTTTTTTTAAAGAAACATTTTGAGATGGCACTCCATACAGGAAGTGATGTTTTGATGATACATTTGGTGGTGATATATATATATATATATATACTGCTCATGATATTATGCCTTCTATACAGCAGTTTTCCTTGTTGAATTGAATTGTCTTGTTCCTTGCTCATAGTACTATTGTTTTATATATTATTTTCTTTTTGTCAAATGATTGTCTTATAAAAATAACCAGAAATTATGAGTTCTTTTTTAATTTTTGCATTTTGATGTTGCAATTTGAACTCTTTATTATAGTGTTCGTTGTCTTATATGGAGAATGAATCATGTAGTATAGGATTTCTCTGTAAAAGAAAATAAGATTATCATCTAATCAAGTGGTACTGAAAATTAGAACCTGAACTATCAAAAGACTAAAAAGGGCACACCACACATGCTCATTTTTATTATACTACTACAAACCAACATCAACTCTTTAAAGTTTGATGTAAAAGAAGTATATAAAGTTGGATTTATACATGCAACAAGAAGGTTCAATAAAAGACCCAAACTTATTCTCTGAAATCACCAAGTCTCAAGAGGCGAAACACTAGTCTGCAGTTAAATACTCATTACACAAAAAGCACTCAAAATTAGAACTGATATATCTCACTGTGTATAGTTAGTGGATATTGAATGTTAGTAGCAGTAGTCATCAGCGGCACCATGTCAGTAACAACACTATGCTGTTCATCCATCTGCAAAATCACGAAAGGAAATTTTATCAGGCAGATATAGTTAAAGAGCACCACTGCTGCATATTTGTCTAGGTATCCATTTCATTACCTTTTCTTGTAAGTACTTGTTAGCTGCCTTCAGTATTCCCTCCTGCAATTGAGAAAGCAGAACTTCCATTACTTCTACCTGAGTTTTGATCGTGGTATGCTAATCCTTCATGGAACTAACTATTCAGAAAAAATTCGTCTCTGTCTTGGTTCCACTTTTACGATATTTTTACAAGCAAGGACTAAAATCTCTTGAATCCATCATTTTCATGTGAATAACTAATTAGTACAATAATTCAGATTGTATGACTAAAACTCATGATAAGTAGATATACAAAGAAAAATGGATACTAGTGGGAAATGAGACCCAAAAAAAAAACTTAGGATGCTTGTGGAATATGAGAAGAAAAAAAGAAAAGAATGAAACCGAGGAGATATGGAGTTAGCCCTCAAAGTTTTCTTTATGTTTCTCTCCCTCGTCTTAAAGATCAACCTTTCATCCTAGCTACTTCAGGTCTAATTGGGCAAAGATGGAATTTAGTTCAGTAATTATTGTCTACTGTTATTCCTTTCCCCTTTCCAATCTCGTTTCTTCTTTAACTTTTTTCATTCAGTTCCCAGTAGTTGCAAGGCTTAAGCTTAATTACGGGATTTTATGTGCTATTAGCATTTTTTTTAGTGTAAATGAAAGATTTCGAAATCGAAAACTTCCATCTATACTGAAAAAAATACACCTGAAAAAAATACACATAAAACCTGTAATTAAGCTTAAGCCCCAAAACCACATCATGCATTCATAATTTTAACCTCTCGGGCTCTAAATCATACCGAAAGTTGGAAACCAGCACAATTTGACCATTTCACTTACCCTTGCAATTACTGTTGTGGGCCATGACAAACTCTCTCAGGGTTTAGAAGGTGTATAAAGACAAAGAAAATCAAATAAAGAAGAATGAGAAGGAAAGATAAAGATAAAAGGAAGGAATTCGGATGATTACCCATAATCTAGAGCTGAATCTAGTGGTTCTGTAGGCGTAAAGTGGTGCGTGCATACACAGTGGATTGAAGGCCGAAAGGCAGAATATTAAACTTTGCGGACAATGTTGAGATGCCTTATATATATATATATATATATATGTGGATAATCTTTTATATACTAACATTCTTTTATATACAAAATTTGATGTTTAAATTTAAATTCAGATGATGTGATATTTATCCAACCTTGTCAATATAAACACTAATAGTGTAGGAAAAATTAATCCTATATATATATGTATGTATGTATATGTATATGTGTATGTGTATGTAAATGGATGCTTGATGTTTTGAAGAAGTGCTACAAATAGATCACTTACTAGAATTTGGTACTTGGCCCCAAAAATTTCTGCAACTCATACAAGTTCACAAGACAAATTCTAGGAAACATATTCTTTTCCAAATCTTTTCTTTTAATGTTTGCTAATTGGTTCAATTAAATGATGTCCAAACCACTGATCCCCCTCAACTAAAGCAAGAGAAGCAAAAACCACAAATAAATAAAGGGTTAATCACACTTTAGCCCCCTGAACATTTGGGGTAGTCATACTTTAATACCGCCAAATTTGACTATAAAAAGAGTACATCTTTTCTATGTTCAAATTTGAATACTATTAAAAGCACATTAGAGTTTTAGGTAATTAATTTCTGTTGTAAGGTAAAAAACGTATGCTACCTAAGTTTGCATTTTGGACAATAATAGAAGGTAAAAAATGTCATTAATTATAATCAGTGTTTGGAAGGCTTTTTTTTCCTAACGTTTGACCAGTTTTCATCTAGGTAAAGTGTATATTTTCAAGGTTGAAGGTGATAAAGTGTGGCTACTCCCAAAACTCAGAAAGGCAAAGTGTAATTAACTCTAGAAAAAGCAAATTAATAAAGTTGGTTATATTAATGTTTTTCCTGGCATTCAATTTCAGACAACACGAGAACATATTTTGAATTTGAAAAGATAAAAGAGAAAATCGTTTTTTGTAACCCCACATTTAAAGCAATCAAAATATGTTTTAGGCAATTCTGGTGTTAGTTGTTTAATATTACTTCTTATAGTAAATCAAACGGTTTTATTTTCTTTTGTAACCAAGAAATGGTTATGTAAAGATTTCATAATACACAAATTCTTCATAAGAATCACAATTAATTATCGATCAAAATTTGGAATGAGAGATAAATTCTAGGTACCTTATTCTTCAGTAACTGGATCTCTTGAAACATGATATCCATCTGAACATGACATAAAAAAAAAAGTAATCAATTATTAAGTTCAGTTCTGCTATTCATGATGCATGCTGTTCAAATTCTATTTGCCTATGGAAATGTATGACATTTACCTTTGCCGAACGTATATGATATATCCAAGTTTCGAGGTGTTTCTCGAGTACATCCAGTTCATCTAAGGTCATTGTCCCAGCTCCTCCTCCAGACATGTACCTAGAGAAATGGTTCCACAATTGTTCATCGAACCCAATGTAGATAAGTTATGCATGCCTGTGCATATTTAAAAGCACATTGTTCACTTATCTTAACCTAGATTAATATATGTCCATTATCCTATCAAGCATACAAGTCAAAATCATGAAATCTGCATAAGAAAAATTGATGAGACACCTAGATAGAACCTTTCTACAGAAGAATAATACATTTTAGTAGACTCGTATTAGAAAGGAAAGGATTAGTACACAGTTAATTGAGTCTGTTTCTCTACCTGTGTCTACAATAGTATACATTTCAGGTGAAGTTTCAAAACTAGTCCCTAAGCATTGCATGAAACTTTATTTCTATGCGTTGTCTTTAAAATGAACTTAATTTGGTTCTTGAACCCTTGAAGGGTTTCAGCTTGGCCTTCCGGAGGATTTCCATTGATTGTTTAGCAGTCTACCATGATCTAACAATGGCAAGCTGACTTTTGCGTGTGAACAAGTGAATTTAGAGGGGTTTCTTTTCCCTTTAAAGCAAACTTTTGTGTTCAACTAATGTGTGCATACTAGGTACTAACTAGCTCAAAGGGGTCATATATGTTACATTTTTTTAAAAAGATAAAGTTAAATATGGAAAGCGTATAAATATAATAAGAGGAAATAAATATACGTGAATATGTATGTGCATTTAAATAGTAAATTAAGTCTAACTTAGATGTTTTAACCAGCAGCTAATAATAAGTTTCTGGTTGGTTATAAATACGGCATCAGGATAGCTTAAGCTGTGCATAAAATAAAAAGAAACCATTACATAGGTTTTTTGACCAAAAGACAGCTACTTATAAATTGTAAATTCAACTACATATGAAGAGAGAAGAATTTACTTTACCTTAGACTTTTCTGGAGGACTTCAATCTCTTGCTTTAGCTTGCTTATCTCGTCTTTTGGGTCCTACAGCATATATTTATGCTTATTCCACAAATCTAAGAGATACTTCAACTTTTTCCAACTTCAATATATATATCTTCCAAAGGGAAGCATATTTTTACAAAAATATGTTATAAATGCCCTATCTAGGATATGCTTTGGCTCAGATAAACAGAAGTGATGAACAGCCAATAATCTGTTACTTATTTATAGAACATAAAATTGAATTCATGCGAGTTTCTTAATTATAATTTCAACATAAAAAATGAAACTAATTATTGACAAGAAAACGAAACTAAAATCAAGAAGTTAGGCAGTTAATTTGGCTAGTGAATTACCAAAAATGAAAGTAATATTGACAACTAGGGCAATGAATTTGCCTAGTGAAATTGTCATTCTCCACATACCTCATAGCCCTAATGCCCTACAGTAAGTAATTCAACAATATATTCCAACAACTTTATTTTTTTGGGTACACCATCATTTGTAGTACGTTGAGGGAAGAAACCAGGATATATATATGTAGTTGTCACTATATTCTTCTCACTCTTACTTGGTTGGTTAGATAAAAAAAATATACCACCACAACCTCAGCAAGATATTGACTCCTATTTAATTTGAATATATAGGAGCAAGAAGAAAGCATATAGGAGTAATGTGGTGGCATTTTTTTTTTACTATCTTAAGCTCTTTTATTTTGAGAATCGTGATTAATTTTTTTTAAATTTAAATCTGTTTTCATACACGTAGCTCTCACCGACTAGCAAGCCAAGTTGTCAATAATTTCTTCCACAGTTATATGAAGCTTCCTAATTATGATCTTTATCTCTCTATGTATTAAATAATTCGAATAACTGGTTTTCCAGTCAAAAAGACAGGAAGCAGGATGATTAATTGGATCAACATTGGATGTTAGCATTGATAAACAGCACATAAGCTAAGAATGGTTTACATTTTTTCACGTAATTAAGGGAGACATAAAGCAGACCATAAAGTTCTGTCTCTAAAAAGTTGCCTAAAGAGTGTGACAATTCTGCTACCTGTCTTGGCTGTATTGATGTAAATAAAATTTACTGTTACCATGAAAACGAAAGCTAGAAGCAGCATCAGATTCTTAACACACAAATTCAAACCAAAATAAAATAATTTTAGACAGAATCGAGATGATGAGCATTCAGTTACAACTCACAGAAAGTTGCATATTCTTGCGACCACCAAAACGTTATGGAATAGGCAGAGGGGATATATGCACGCAAAGAGAAAAAATAACTCAGCCAACACGTGGAAGGAATATGCATACCAGAGGTTCCTTTTCTTTGGCTTGCTCAGCCGGAGCTCTTCCCCGGCAAGTCTTGCCGTACTTGTCAATCAAGCCTTGCATGGTTCTTTAGCAACAAAACAAAGAAGAAAGGTGGGAAAAAAAGAAAAAGAAAACAATTAACTATTAAGGAATATTCTACCCAAAAACAGGTCAATATACACATGCATGCATGCAAGCATCTGCATTTCTAGCCTAAGTTGTTTGCACAAATCAACAGCCTCTAGTCTTGTATCCTACTTTTGGTGTCAATTCAATGTCTATATTTTCTGATTTATTGATACGTGTGAATATGCTATATTGTCTATTCATGATAGTATTTCATATAAAAGTGAAAAATGATGAGAAAATAAAGAGTGGAATAGAAATTGGTACAGAATAAAACTCCAAAGTCAAGAAAATGTCTACTATTTAAGAATCAAGGCAATACGTCTAAGCTATATTTTGTGCAATCAACCTAATCTAGGATCGATTCAGAGGCTAGAAAATTTGCACGAGAGAGATAAGGGGAAGAGAGAGAGACCCTTTGGTGGCTAGTTCATAAAGCTTTCCATGAGCGGAGAAAATGACGACGCCAATTTCAGCATCGCACAGCACAGAGAGCTCCTTAGCCTTCTTAAGAAGCCCTGCACGACGCTTGCAGAAGGTAACTTGCCTGTGAACAGGGTTCTCGATTTTCTTCATCTGAATCTTTCCACGAGCCATATTTTTTTATGTATCAACTGATTTTCAACCCCTCTTTCTACCGTTTTCCTTGTGAAATTTTTGTTCTTGTCTGCTGTTTTTGGTTGCAGTTTCTGCAAACAACCTCCCACTAGTTTGAACTAGCTTCGAGATTGCCGCGCTCTCTCCCTCTCGTCCTCAGCTGCGACTAAAACAACTCTCAAATCTTCCTCTAGATGGCTTCCAACTTTATAAACATCCTCTCTGGATTCTTGTTTCTCTCTCCATAATAATAAAATCAAAAAGGCAAGGAAATGTCACTGGCAGGCAACTTTATTTTTTATTAGCAAAGCTAGTTTTATGCTTTAGAACCTCTTATTTTATATACTCTAGTCAGTACTCAGTATACTATTTACTTGCGGACATCTGAATACTTATGTAATGGCAAATTAGCTCTTGCCACTTGGTGCATCCATTGGATACTAAAGGTGATTTGATCGTGTCTTTAGACTTGAAAAGACATATCACAAAGCACTCTTATTGAGTATTCTACTCCTGTACGATGTTATGCAACTATGTGATTGGGCATTTGAGGCGAGGTTTAGTGTTGCAAAAGCATACAAATACACGAGTCCACCTATTAAAAGCAATTGAAAATCATGATATCTTTAATCGATAAACATAACTATAAAATCTTTAAAATGAAAGAGTTGGATTATCTTTTAATTTATTTCTATAGTTAAGCCATATGACTGCTAAGTATAAACTTTTCGTGTATGTATATATAGTTTATCAACTCATTAAGATTAAACTGACTTAATTGTTAAGACTTTTAAATATTAAATGGTTGCACGCATATTTGATCAACTTCTTCATACTGGTTTACGCGTCTGAAATATCATATGTACATTTCAAAAAAGGTATATATATTTAACTAAATTTTAACGATATGTGATATCAAGAACCTTTAAATTTCGGAGAGAAAGAATATAATTGAGAGATTTTATATTCGAAACCTACCACTTATACTATAAAAAAAAATAGCATTTAGAATTCTATCACGGTTCAACAAATAAACCAAAACGGATAAGAGTAAAGATTCAATAATCATAGCACAAACTAATTATAGGGTTACACTGATATGTATAGCACAAACTTCTATAAATTATTTAGCAGCACTACATTTGAAACTTTCTCATCACTGCCCTCAAGGGATAAGATTACAATTGAACCATAAGTAACGTTTTGGGTTCGGCATTTGAGACTTCTTATAGCGGGATGTGATGTAATATTGTAATTATATTAATTGTTTAAGTACATGATTAGCATATTATGTATCTATGATTGGCTAATTCTCTTCAATTCCAACTCGAAACTCTATATTTTCATATAGTGATGAACCAAATCTCGATGACGGACCTTAAAAAACCTATACCATACGGGCTTAACATATGATCCAGCAGAAGACTAATTATTGTTCATTGCTCAATCCTCAAAGCCTGGAGACTTAAAATGTGCATAGATCTGTGGTATCATGTGTGACCATCCAGTCCACAGCTGAGCAAATGGCTTCATGTAGGCCATGTCATAGTCTACTCAGCAAGCGATTGCTTTTTCATGTGCATCCCCACTCTTGTCTCTAGATGAACCAATTAGCTGCCCACCTTAGTGTGCTTTTGTATTCTGCTTTTGCTATAAAGTTTTCATGTTCCGAAACAGTGCCCTTTTTTGTTATAAACAAATCAGTGAACGGTCAGCTCAGCTTCCTCCACTCCCCATCTTATATTTGAAGCAAGAATCTTGTCAAATCAAACTCCAATCAACTAGAAAACCTTAACGAGGTCTCCTGTTGACATCTAGAGATCATTTACTGAATGGAAAGAGGTTTCCATGTAGCCACGTGGATATTCCCTAGAGATGATGACACGTGGAGGCTTACCTTGGTTTTGTTATGTAGAAAGCTTAGATTCCAAATATATTGCTAAAACACAAGTGGGATACTGGGGGTTTAAAGTAACATGATTACTAGACACAAAGAACAACTCCAACTAATTTTTATGCTTTTGAGTGGCTAATGGGAGGGTTCATGTTGATCATCAGAAGATCTCACCAATATGGTGGCAATGGACAAATAGCAGAAGGCCATATGATTGTTTAAAGAATCAACATGCAAGTTGTGTGACTATTAAACCGGCATGCAAGTAGATTTTGAACACGCGGTTAAAGAATTTAATATAACACTGTTTCAAAAGGGACTAGCTAGCATGTTTATTTCATAAATGCACTTTTTCGCAGCACGAATTTGCTACAAATGATGGAGGCAATTCTTGCAGGCTATGTGTTTTAAGTTTTCTTTTTCCATGTTATTTCTCAGTTTAGTTGTCACAGATGGTGAAGGCAAATTATTTTACGCTGTTCATTTTCCCACGTTTACAGGTAATTCAAAGTAATTCACATTCCTTCTTGATTAACGAATTCCTGCAAGTGCGCAGGATCGATCGTAGTAATAAAATTATCTAAAGTAGTTTAGGGGTCGAACCCATAAGAACGAATTAATTTCCATTACTTTAATTATTATAGAAAAATAATAAAATTCAAAGGATTTATTTTTAACTAATTAAAGAAGAAAATAGATAATCAAATCTAATAAATAAAGGTAAGAAAACAATTGGCAAAAACTAGGATTTCAGATTTTGATCTAGAATTTGAATTGATTATCTAGTTAATTTCCTAACATGCCAAGAACGGATCACACGTAAGTATCTTAGATTATCTCTCGATATATCTAAGTTGTGCTTAATTAAATCTCACGTCTCTTTTAAGATCATAAGTATTTAATTAAACCCCTTAAAATCTTAGGTGATATAATTACGTCAGACAAACCCTAATTTAGTCTCATGATTAGACTAAATATGTTTATTTATCTAATGCACGATTATATATTCCTTCTCAGTTCAATTCAAACCCTAAGAGCACGTCTATAGTGGCCAAAAACATGTAATTAAATCAAGGCAAAAGTTAAGAATTTAACTAAGATAAATAATCAAATCTCCTTCACAAAACCCTAACCCTGAAAACAATTTAGTTCAATATATGCATAATTAAAAGCAAGAATTCAAGAAACAACAACAATAATATTGGAGAATAAAGTAAAGAAAACTTCTCAGTTGTCCTGCTTCAATCCCCATGTTGGTTGCTTCTTGGTTCTTCCACCTCTTCTTCTTGATCTCTCAAGAAAATATGTAGGAAGAATGAACTAAAGTTTAACCATGTGTTTTCTCCTCTAAAAACAATCTAGAGAACCCCTATTTATAATTTCTTGAAGATATATCCCAAATGAAGTAGGAATAGACTTTATTGGAGTTGAAAAATCACGTTTTTGCACAATTTTCCAATAATGTCCGGCCAATGTCCAAACTCAAAACACAAAAGAATCTAAAGATGTCTGATGTGAAGTCCAATTTGATGATAGGTGCCGGTCATGGATCTGCGCATGAATCATTTTTGAAGCCAAATTACACAATGAAGGAGGCCTAATCAACTCTTGTTCGAAACATGAAAGTTGTAGACATTTGAATTAGCTTTCCAATGCCACAAGAATCATATCATATGGAGGTATGGACACTGATATACACCTAAAATACTGAGAATTAGTCGTAAGAATATTGCAATGCAACTATATTTCAATAATTTGGACTTTTGACATTGAAAACGTGAGAAACAAACTTTAATGTTTCATAAGAATTGTAGAGCATTATCTTAGGTTCAAACTGAATCAAGAATCATCTTAATTTGATTTTGATAGCTCAAGTTATCGCCAAAATATGAAAATATGTCAATTCTACCAAATCCCTTTCTCTTAACTTTTTCCTTTTCCATTGCTTCTTCGCGTCATGCTTTTAGTTCATTTTCTCTCTAATTGAACTTTTCACCTATTAAAATAATATAAGAACAAAATCAAGTAGTTTTCATTCATAATAAAGCTCAGGCAACATAGTTAATTAGCAACTTATGCATATAAATGCACTATATTTTACACCATATCACTTCTTGAACACGTATGAACTTTTTAGTTTCTCTTCAAGTCATTAGGACTGCAGTTTCTCGTATTATTGATGGAGTGGCTCAATTTGCAATTTGGTTTTATGCTCGCATATAGCCTAGGGGTGTAATCGAGCCGAATCGAGCTCGAGTATTGCTATACTCGAGCTCGACTCGACTCATATACACCAAAGCTCGAGCTCGACTCAAGCTCGAGCGAGCCCAAAAAATCGATACTCGAGACTCAACTCGAAAAATTTCCTTTAGGCTCGAGGCTCGAAAATTTTTTCCATTTTAGGTCTTTTTACAATTATGTGATTACTTTTTTGCCATTATAGGATTTTATTATAAAGAAGGATATATTGTAAATTTCATATAACTTATACCCATAATGGTCATTTTATAATTATAATACATATATATTATTTAAATTATAAATATATTATTTAAATAACTCCGGCTCGTCGAGCTACTCGACTCGACTCGAGCTGGGCTATTTCGACTCGAAACTCGACTCGATTTTCATTTGAGTTACTCGAAACTCGCCTCGAACTCGGTCAACCCGAGTTCGAGCCGAGTCGTTGACCGAGCTACTCGCGAGTAGCTCGACTCGCGTACATCCCTAATATAGCCTAGTCAATTAGCTACACTCGGCTCATCCCATTCCACAATGTTTTTCTCATAATGAGAATAGAGTATATGTGTTCTAACTTCTAATTGCATTTTGCTCCATAATCTATACGTCTCAAACTTTGGATACCTTTTATCTATCTATATAACTTCTTTATTAAAATTATTAACTAGAGTTTGACCCCTTTTCTGTTTTAACATTTATATATATATAGTTATTCAGTAGATAGAAAGTGTGTAGCAGCTATTAGCCGTTGTTAAGAAGGATGGCAACAGTGGAGGTTTGGAGAGGAAACCTTCTCTCATCTTTTACCTCGTCTTTCAAAAGTTTCACCTATCCTCTGTCCCATACCCTGTTAACTCCACCCCACTCCACTCTACTGCTCCCATGGATGCCCCAGTCCTCTAGGCTACCATTTTTAATTTTTTATTTGACTTTATTTTTATGTACGCACAATATTAATAATGAATTTATCAACCATTCTTTCAAATTTTAAACCAAAATTTCATGGTTAAATAAGTTTAAAATTATTTTGATCTTTGATTTTACACAATCTAGATCGATTTTTTTTATAACCAACATGCCATATAGAAAAAGAAAAAGAAGTAAAATAACATAACAAAATTATCATTTTACC